CCTTCCGCCTCAGCCTTACAAGTAGCCGGAATTACAGGCATGCGCTACCACGCCCGGATAATTTTTTTTTCTGATTTATTGTAGAGATGAGGTCTCGCTGCCCAGGCGGGTCTCGAACCCCGAGCTCAGGCAATCCACTCACCTCAGCCTCCCAAAGGCGCGGATTACAGGCTGAGCCACCGAGCCCAGCTTGATTTTTTCTTAAATGCTTGTGTGCCATTCACATGTGCCATAATCTGTCACAGGTAAGCCAAAGTCTGTGTCCCATCTTTCCTTGGAGGGTCCAGTCTTTCCTTAGGTTTCAGGCCATGTGACTGTCCTGAGACCTTGGCTCTCAGTTGGAGTCAGAAAAGTTATAATGTTATAGGTTATATGGTTGTTTTTCTTGTGGCTAAGGTTGGAGCAGCACTTTCCATTTTTCTACTTTCACACTTGAGTTTTTAAATATTTTTCTTTATGACAGTTTCTACCCAACACATTATATATCTGTTTGTCTGTTATTAGTTGTCTACTACCAAAATGTAATTTTTTGAGTGCTGGAGCTTTGTTTTGCTTATATCTATATCCTCATCATCTCGAATATTACCTGATACAATAAGTTTGTTAGAAAAATAAATGATGTTTTGATTGTCAAGGAATATAACTACCTGTATTGTAATCAGTATTCAATTTATTAAAGTTACAAACTTTAAAATCAATTCTGTCTTCAAATAGAATGTATGCATCTAGAATATTCACCCAGAAACTAGGAATTTTTTTTTTTTTTTTTTTGAGTCGGGATCTGACTCTGTTGCCCAGGCTGGAGTGCAGTTATATGATCATGACTCACCACAGCCTCTAACTCCTGGGCTCAAGCTATCCTCCTGCCTCAGCCTCCTCTAAGTAGCTGGGAGTACAAGTGCATGCCACCATGCCTGGCTAATTTTTTTTTATTTTTATGTTTTTATAGAGACGAGATCTTGCTGTGTTGTCTAGGCTGGTCTTGAACTCCTGGACACAAGTAATCCTGTCACTTCAGCCTCCCAACGTGCTGGGATTACAGCCGTGAACCACTGTGCCTGGCCAGAAATCTAGACATTTTTGGGTCAAAATTAAAATAATCACTTTCACTTACTCTTTAATACTTATTTATTTCAAAATTTGACAAATTATTATATTCTCCTTCACCCAGTGAGACTGAGCAGACATTTAAAATTGCCATTGGAACCTGAATATATTTCCAGAGGCATTCAACTCACCCTACAAGAAATAGGCTATCCTGATGGCTAGTTTCTACTTGCTGCCATCAACCAGATTCCTAAACCCATGTCTTTCAGCTAGGACTCAATTTCACAGAAAATATGATACACATGCCCTGGGTATCAAGTTTTTATCAATTTAAATTGTAACTTTCTTCAACTTTCTAATTATCTGGTTTGGGTGGATGTAATCTTGCATCCTGACAAAATTAAATTCTATATCACCCATTGACCCCTTGATTTGCACACAGGAGACTCTGCAACCACTTTGACCACCATTGTAGTCATTTATCAACAGATATTAGGCACCTATGTAGCTTCTTCCTCCTCCTCTGGAGTCTAGATAAGAAAGAGCTCAGCAAACTTTTTGTAAAGGGCTGGCTAATAAATATTTACTGTGTTGCAACTACTGAACTCTGCTTATGGGACAAAAGGCAATATATAAATGAATGAGAAAGGCTTCTTCTAATGAAACTTTATTAAATACATTGTGGGTCAGATTTGACCCATGTGCTGTATTTGTTTACCCTGGTTTAGGGACAGCCTGTGTGCTAAGAGTGATTTTTAGATTTTTAAATGGTTAAAAAAGCCAGGCATAGTGACTCATACCTGTTGTAATCCCAGCATTTTGTGAGGCCAAGGTAGGTGAATTGCTTGAGGCCAGAAATTCAAGGCCAAACTGAACAACATAGCAAGACCTCATCTCTACCAAAAATTAAGTAAAAAAATTAGCCAGTTGTGGTGGCACACAACTGTAATTCCAGCTACTTGAGAGGCTGACACAGGAGGATCACTTGAGCCCAGAAGCTGGAGCCTTCAGTGAGCCATGATCATGTCACGCTCTCCAGCCTGGGTAAGAGTGAGATCCAGACTAAATAAATAAATAGTTGAAAAAATCAAAACAAGGATAATATTTCATGACACATTAAAATTATATGAAATTCAGATTTCTGAGTCTACAAATAAAGTTACATTAGAAAAGAGTCACCAAACCTATTTGTTGCAAGTTGTTTGTGGCTGCTTTTGTGCATCAGTAGTAAAGCTGAGTAGTTGCCACAGAGCCTGTATGGTCTGCAAAGCCTAAAACATTTACCATCTGGTCCTTGACAGAAAAGGTTTGCTGATTTCTGGTCTAGAAGATCGAATGTTGGAGTCCTTCAGGGCCCATTCCTAGTCCCTTTTCTCCTCTCACTCTCTCCTCTCTCCCTAGGAATGACTTCAGATATACACTGACCCACGAACAGTGACCCACAAATTTATAACTCCAATGCAGACCTCTCCTCTGTATTCCAGACCAGTGTGTCCAACTGCCTACTTGACATCTCTACTTGGAGGTCTCAAAGATACCTCCAACATACACATATCCAAAGTAAATTAATGATTTTTCTCTTCGAATTTTATGTTTTCCATTATTCTCTATCTGAGTGAAAAGCTCCATCATCTATCCAGTTACTCAAACCAAAACCTGGTTGTCATCCTTGATATTTCTCTCCTTTACAGCCCTTCTCCATGTCCCACCCATATCTAATCCATCATCACGTCTTATCAAACTTAGGTCCTCATATTTCTAAAATCCATAGAATGGGTTCTCTAAGTACCAAAAGCTTTAACTACCTTTGGTCCCGTCCCTACTTGCATCTCCAGTCTCATTTTGCACCAGGAGCCCTCTTAAATCCCTCCAGCAGGCTTTGGGCCTTTAACACATTGTTCTCTTTGGCCAGAACACTTCCTCTCTGAATTAAAGCAATACTAGCTTCTGTAACAAACTTAAACATCTCAATCACTTAATACAACCCAAGTGTATTGATTGCTTTTACAAAGCCCATTGTGGATACTCTTGGTTGGCAGGCGGCCTTCCACATGATTATTCAGAGACCCAATTCCCCTCTGGCTATGCTGTCATCTCATTGGGTCTTCAGAGTACTTTATTGGATGGAACGTATGTATCTGGTGGGTAGATGGGTGGGCAGGGGGAGTGTGTCAGAGGGAGGAAAACAGAGCAAGTGCAGGAGGTTTTGTATGGGGTGTGCCTGAAGTAGCATTTATCGATTCTATTCGAGTTGCAGCAGCCAGAACTGAATCCTTGGACCACACCCAACTGCCTGGGAGGCTGGGAGATATAATCGAGCTGTGTGCTAGAGGTAGAGAGAATGGTTTGGGCTAATAGAGTTGTCCATGTCACACATTCCACCCCTACTGCATTCACTAGTCACACCCTACCCCTCCCTCAGCTCTCAGGGACACCTTCTCTTCTTTGACTAGGTTGGGTCATCCTAACTCTTCCTGCCTTTCCCTGTTGGGGCACTTATCACATTGTATATATACTCTCCCTGGTGTTGCTTTTTCTTCAATGCTTGTTTCCCACTAGACAGTTGGGAAATGAATAAAAATGAAAGAGAAATTAGTTGCTACCATTAAGGCTCTGGAGAGAGCCACACTGACATGCCCGCCCTCTTCGGCCCTTGGCTAAGCGCCTTCTATGGGTCCCACATCCGATCCAACACTTTCAGTGTGTCCAGGTCTGATAGGCCACTACCCTACTCTTGGCCCTTCTGAGACCGATGGCCCTGATTCTTTTCCACTGCTAATAGATATTCCCCCTAAGCTAGTTCCCAGGTGTCCCAGGCACTCTGCTGAACAAGGATTGTGTTTTCTTTTGCCCTTCAGAGGCTGGCTTGGCCAATAAGCCACTACTTGCAGGCTGGCTTCACAGGGAAGTCTCTGGATCCCAGGCAGCCATAAGGTCTCCCTTACCACCTCATTTACTAGGCCTTAGATGTATGGGCCCCTGACCTCTGGTCCCCACCCCTCCCCAGATCACTGCCCAGCAGTGGCCCCAGTGAAAGAGGCCATCAGCAATGTTGTTGACACACTGGTGGGATGTGTAGAGGTTTGCTTTGAGGAAGGTGAAATGTCGAGACAAATTGAATCCTGAAGTCAATGTCCTGCGAAGCTTCCAGACTCTGTGAGACAAGTGCTTTATGTGCTTGTTCTGTTCTGCTGCCAACATCCCAATATTTGATATAGATATAGACTACACCTCCAGCTTAGAGAAGGGAGAAAAATCCTTAACTCTCAAACATGAGACTGTGACAGTAGAATTCCAGACAGAAGGGGCAAGGCATTCTGGACCCGAGCAGGCAACATTGTAGGCATAAGGCTCTGCCCAGCAGTGAGTCCAGTCTACAGCAGCATCTTTTCCCCAATCCTACCCCAATCCTAGCAAGTGTATGGGCCTAGACGTACCTGACAGCGGTGAGGGGTAGTGGCATCTTGATGGTCTCTCCTGCATTCGTTACAGATCGCAAAGGAGGAAGCTGTCCTACCAGCCGCTCTCTTCCCGTCTCTCTGTGAGCTCATCTTTCACAACAACCCTCTGGTGGCCCATACACGAGGTATGGTACCCGCAAACCTGCCTCCCCAACCCAGTGCCCGAGGAACAGCCCTACCTTATCCATGCCAAGCTCTGGATTCTGCCCTGTGGGGGAGGTTCCTGGTACATTGGGGAATGGAGAAGAGCTCTGTACCAGCTCATCCTGTCCTGTGAAGCAGGCACTATTGTCCCCGTGGACAGTGGTGGAAACTGAGGCTCAGGGAAATTTATGATCTGCCCAAGCCCACATGGCAAGAAAGAGTTTTGAGTTGGGAGTGGAATACTGGGTTATCTAGATCCCATGTTTAAGCTGCACCCTGCTTTGTGGAGCAGGTCTGTTGTGACCCATTTCCTACCTCCCAGCTAAGGTACAGGCCAACTGTAGGAACCTCCCAGAGCACACTGAATGTAGCCATGCAGTGTCAGCAGGGAGCCTACTGTCCAAGACACAAGCTGGAGGCATTCTAGAGTCCTGGGCCCTCGAGTGACACCAATGTAGTTCTAATCCTTGCTCCACACTCTCTCTGATACCTTGGGTAAATTCTTTAAGCTCACTGTGCCTCAGTTTCCTTGCCTATTGAAACAATATGGTACCTACCTGCTAAGGTTGATATGAGAATTAAATAAGTTGCATTAATACAAGTAAAGCAATTTGAATAGTGTCTGGCACAAAGTAAGTCCCAGTATAAAGTTTAGCTGCTAATAATCTTATTTTCCCATCATGGCACCAGGGGTCCCTCCACTGCTCAAGAGCTTCCTCCAGGAGCGACTAGGTATCCGCTTAATTCGAAGGAAGACAGTAAAGGCCAGGCATCACATTTTGATGCCTCGGAAGGAATCACGGAAGGTGAGGCTTCCAAGGCAGGACTTCCCCCACAAGGAGTGGAACCTATTGTGATGCACATAAACTAACCTGGTGGTAGATCCGCTCTCTCCCACAGCGCCTGCAGTCTCTCCATTAGGGTCAGGATTGCCTTCTTTCCTTTCTCTGTGAGATACATATGTAACCAGGAGGGACAAGACAGTCAAAGTTAAGAGTAGGGAGGAGCCTTGGAGGTCTCTGAGTCTCACCTCCTGATTTAATAGAGAAAAGCCTAGAGAAGGAGCTATGGAGAATGGGGAGAAATCAGCAATGATGTCTTCTAATGAGCCTGGCTCTATCACTTTCCATAGTTCCCTGACTTTGGGCAAGAATTTCATTCTGTGAGCTTCAGTTTTCTCAACTCTAAAACCTCAGAGCTGCTGAAAGGATTGGATGAAACAACAGATATGAAAATATATTAACTCCCCAAACTCATACCAATACAAGTTATAGTCACCTACAGTAATTAAGAATGGCTGGGCCAGGACTAGAATACCAGCTCCTGCCTAAATTTTAAGGAAGCATTTCCCTATGTTGAGATCTGTCTGCCTCCTTTGACACTCTCCCAGCCAGGCTGTTAGATTTGCCTTTTGGGATGCCATAAAGTAAGGCAAATTCCTCTTTCATTGGAAGAATTTCAAATATTTCCATGAAATGCTCCTCCCTCCTGAGTTTTATAGTCTTTCTCCCGCCAAAAACTTGACTAAGCATTGCTGATTCCAAAACTTAAATACAGTTACTCCCTTGCCACCCACTCTACAGCCTGCCTCTGTCCAGTCAAACTCTTGTCGTAAGTCCTCAGATGACCAGAGCAAGAATTTAAAGTCAGAAGTAGACAGAAATCCCAAGGCTTCCATCACCTTCCCCCTTGTCTGTTGCCTCCTCTAAGGATCTACTACTTCCCTTCCCATCAGCCACCTAGGGAGGGGTCAGAATCAGAGCAAGCTGGATGCTGTGTACAGCAGTGGTCCTCAACCTTTTGGACATCAGGGACCGATTCCATGTTAGACGATTTTTCCATGGATGGGGTGGGGGTGATGTGCAGTCAAACCTCACTGCTGATGTTAATCTGTTTCTGCAGCTGCTCCCCAGCGCTAGCATCACCTCCTCAGCTCCACCTCAGGTCATCAGGCATTAGATTCTCATAAGGGGTGCACAACCTAGGTCCCTCGCATGCGCAGTTTACAGTAGGGTTCACACTTTTGTGAGAATCGAATGCTGCTGCTGATCTGACAAGAGGCAGAGCTCAGGAGGTAATGTGCGTGATAAGGAGTGACTGTAAATATAGGTGAAGCTTTGCTCACTCACCCGCCACTCACCTCCTACTACGCAGACCGGTTCCTAACAGGCCATGGACTAGTACCAGTCCATGACCCAGGGGTTGGGGATCCCTGGTGTACAGAATCCTCTCTCCACTTTACAGAGCACCCATGGCCAGTACTCTGCTGAGCACTGGCACTTATGCTGTCACAGAATCCTCACATCAGATGAGGAGAGGCCAGAGAGACGTGAACTAACTTTTTCAAAGTTAGTGGTGGGGCCCGGGAGACCCCTCAGCTCTCCTTCCATCCAAGGTTCTGTTTGGCAGAATTGGGTTAACAGAAATGGCCAAATGAGAAACAAGTCGGTGCTTTGTTCATCTAGGCAACATCCTCTAGGCTAGACTGGAGAATGTGGCTTAGTACAGAATCCATACTGGGGATGATGCCTGCATGTCCTGGTGTGCATATAGAATTGGGACTAGAGACACAGATTGGACCCCTGGGCCTTTTACTCACTCAGTTACATGGACAAAGGCCTCAGGCCTTCCCCTCATACCTAGGCATGGCAAAACAAGAGGCAAAGGGAGAACCTGCCAGAGCAGGCCTGTAACCAAGAAGCTCTGTGAGCCCTTTGCTTATGAGGACAAAAGTGAGGGATAAAACAGCCTGCTCTTGATGACTGGTGATCCAGCCGCCAGGGAAGCAGGACCCAGTGACATCAACCTCTGGCCAATGTGGTTAGCTGTTCCTTCCTGGCAAGGGGCCAGGAAAGTAGTGGTGGGATAGAAAAAGAGCATTCCCTCCAGCACTCCTCCACCCAGAACTGTGGGAAGGAGGGATGCATGTTGCCCCTTTCCCATCAGCTGCCAAAGGATGGCACTCAGTGTTTTAGATATTGAGGCATGGTGCTGCCTGTTCCCCTGTGGCATGGGTTCTGAAAAAAGACGCTGGGTCCCTTAGGCTCCATCTAAACGCTGAGGCTTTACAAATTTTCAGAAAGGAAATATTTTCTGTCTCTCCTTCTTTTTATTTTACTTATTTATTTATTTTTTTGAGTCAGGATCTTTCTTTGTTGTCTAGATTGGAGTGCAGTGGCATGATCACAGCTCACCACAGCCTTCAACTTCTGGGTTCAAAGTGATCTTCCTGTGTCAGCCTCCTGAGTAGCTAGAATTATAGGCATGCACCACCACACCCAGCTAATTTTTTTTTTTTTAAGAGATGAGGTCTTGCTGTGTTGCCCAGGCTGATCTCAAACTCCTAGACTCAAACAGTCCTCTCACCTCAGCCTCTCAAAGTGCTGGGATTACAGGCATGAGCCACTACGCCTGGCCGAAATATTTTCTTAATAATAATTATCTCACAAAAGGCATCCTCTGAACTCCTCAGTACATTTGCACACATCATTTCATTTGGCAGAACTCTATGACAGAGGCAGGGAAGGGACTATTCTCCCATTTTACAAGAAGGAAATGGAATTTCAAAGGTCAGAATTGTATTCCAGCACACATTTTTCTAACTACAGTGCTTGGGATCTTTCCACTACACAATACAGTCTATAAAAGTGCAGATATAAGTGGACCAAATACCTTTGACAAAGAATAAAAGACAATCTGCCATGTAAATAGGGAGAGGAGAAAGAACTATGTCCAGTTGAGGTACACGGGGCAGCTGAGGCAAAGATGGAGGGAGAGATTGTTGACAGGCTTTTGCTAAATAAGGAAATGGAGCAGTCCACCAGGAAACAAGTCATGTCTTTAGTCCTGAACCCTAGAGAAGTCTGTCTTTTGGATCTTTCTATAAAGTACAGGGACCAGCATTCTGAAAGGGGCCTGTGCTTCCATCTTCCAGAAAATATAGGACCATCCCCCAACACCCCCTTCTAGGAGTCCTGGGGAAAGTCAAAAGCACCATGTTAAACCTTGCTCTGAAGAGTGAGGCTGCTGAGAGCCAGAGTGATGTAGCAGGGCTGTGGCTTGAGGTCTGGAGCCCAGGGCTGGAATCAGTCAGTAATCCAGGCTCTACCGCTGAACCACTCTGTAACCTTGGACAACTCAGTTTACCTCTCTGAGCTCTAGTTTCCTCATCTATAAAATGAACTAATTATGCCCTGGGTAGTTTTGAAGTATAAATACAACAACTTAGGTCACACATGGGGGACATTATAGATACCCATCATGTATGATTTCCGTCCTTACCCAGTACCATGACTGTTGCACAGGTGGCCTAAGATGGTTAGGCCCAGGAGGAGGGACTCCTGATTAGGAAGCAAATTCAATCTACCTTTCTCCCATGACAGATAAAAACCCAGGTCCCAAAGGTGCCGAAGCAGCCTCTGCTGCTCCATCAGCCACATGTGACCACAAGCAAGTCTCCCTCAAGGGATATGCTGGAGTCAGAGGCAGGGCTGACTGAAGAGCTGCCCACTGCCAGAAGGGCCTACCTGGATCCAGAGATGCCTGCTGAGGACCTGGAAAGCCTTTCTCTGTCTCACCGGACCTTCGTGCCAATGCCTCCTATCTGCTCTGACTCCACTGTGCACACTGAAGAGACTGCGTCACGCCCGAGTGACACAGCCATCCACCCAGAGCACCCATCAGATGAGGACACCAAGAGCACAGAGTCCATCTTTCTGACCCAGGTACCTGTATCCAACTGCCCTCAGCTTGCATGGGTTCCTGTAAACCCCTTAGCAGGCTGGACTTCTGTGGGCAGCTGAGAGCAAGCACATGGCAGGTCTGGAAACCAGAAGTCGGCACCCTTGGCAGGGCTTATAAGCCTCTTCCGGGAGAACCTCTGACCCAAGGCTATGGATAGGGATATCCATGAGGACAAGTTATGTTCCTGTGGCACAAACAAGATCTGAGTCTAATGGGGTGTGGTTCTGACCAGTTTTTCAAAAGGGTTTGCTGCTGCCTCTGCCTGTCTACTTAAGGTCAGCTGGCTTTGGATGCTGCCTCTGGATCCTGGCAACACAGATGGATCAGACAAGCTCCTGCCCTTAGGGTGCTCTCAGACTAATGGGAAGCATAGACAGGAACAATACATGCAATCATGTAATCAGCTCTGAGATTGAGGGAAACTCAGCAGCTGAGAGCCTGAAGGAAGACGGAATGCCTCTGCCCCAGACCAGGAGGGCATCCTGGAAAAGGTTCATATGAGCTGAGTTTTGCAGGCTCAGTAGGAATTAACAAGGTGAAGATATGGCAGCAAGGACATTTTGGGCAGAAGGAACAGCATGAAACAGGGACTAGAGGATGGAAATGAAAATGGTATATGCAGAAACTACAAATGTTCAGCATCAGTGCAGCTGAAGGGTGGCATATAGGAAAGGGAAATAGAAGGATAGAAGAGTTGGCATGGCTCCTTGAACTGTATCATTCGACATCCCTTTCCCTGATCTCCCTGCTTCTGATTTTACACTTTCCGTCTTCCCACTGCCACATTTTTCCAGGATGTTCATCCATCCATGCATTTGTGTCTGACTCTCCATCCATCTCTTTCTTTATTCCATAGATGGACTTATAGTGACATAAATTCATACAGTATAAAGGTATCTTTATGAACTATCTCAGAACATTTTTAGAACAATGCAGAATATAAACAAAAGTATTAAAAACAATTGAGAGTTAGATGAAAGGAAAATAAGGACAGTAAAGGAACTAATAAATACAAGTGTAACTCTGTAACTTAAACATGCATATCATGTACTGCTGCTCTCATTATAAAGGTGTATTGTCAAAATGCAATTCTAAGCTCCCAGCAGCCAAAGAAATACAATTAATTATGAGTCACCTTGTTTTTCAGGGGAAAAAAAAATCTTGTAAATTTTTTTTTCTTTTGCCTAATTCCCCTGGCTATAACCTCCAGTATAATGTTGAGTAATAGCAAGACCAGACATCCTTATCTAGTTTCTATTCCTAGAGGGAAAGCATTCAGTCGTTTACCATTAATTATAATGTTAGCTTTGGGTTTCCCATAGATGCCCTTTATTGTGTGGAGGAAGATTCTTTCTATTCCTAGTTTATTGAGTGTTTTATATCATGAAGGAGTGTTGGGTTTTTTAAATGCTTTTTCTTTATCTCTTGAGATGATCATATGATTTCAGTCCTTTATTCTGTTGACATAATGTATAATGTTGATTCTGGGCGTTAAACCAACCTTGCATTCCTGGGATAAATCCCTCTTGGTCATAGTGTATAATACTTTTTATATGTTGCTGAATTTAGTTTGCTAATATTTTTTGAAGATTTTTGCATTTATAGTTATAAGTAATATTGGTCTGTATTTTTCCTTTCTTGTGATATATTTCTCTAGCTTTGGTTTCAGAGTAATACTGACCTCAGGGAGTATTCACTATTTTAATTTGTGGAAGAATTTGTGAAGGACTGTTATTAATTATTCTTTAAACATTTGATAAAATTCACCAGTGAAACCATTTGGTCCTTGTGGTAAGTTCTAAAGTTACTGATTCAACCTTTTTACTTGGTGTAGGTCTGTTCAGACTTTCTATTTCTTCTTGAGTCTTTTTGTTTTTCTTTTTAATAAAGAGATAGAGTCTCTCTGTGTTGCCCTGGCTGGACTGCAGTGGCTATCCACAGGCATAATCCAACTACTGATCAGCACAGTTTTGATCAGCTCCATTTCTGACCTGGGCCAGTTCATACCTCCTTAGGCAACTTCATGATTCCCCAGTCCTGGGAGGTCACCATATTGATGCTGAACTTACTGTGGACACCAGATGGGCATAGCACATTATAGCAGAAAACTCCTGGGCTCAAGCAATTCGTCTGCCTTAGCCTCCTCAGTAGCTGGGACTATGCCCAGCTACTATGTACCACTATGCCCAGCAAGTCAGCCATTTTAATAAAGGACATAACTACATTCCTACGTAAAAATACAGATTTCATATTTCTTATAAAACCATTAGGGTAGGCTAAAATTCTTCATGGCTTGCCTTTAGAATCAAGATAAGGAAAATACAAAACAAACATCCTCAGCTTGGCATTTAAAGGTCCTTCCTGATCTGGGCCTGCTTATGACCCCAGTTGCTATCTCTTCACATCATATTCTAACCATACCAATCTTTAGTTCCCCATAAATACTCCTATATCTTACCTTTACACTTTTGCTCATGATGTTCCTTGCCTGAAACAGTCATCCTTTCTCATTACTTGCAATCCACCCCTCTCTCCACCTCTACCAGAGGATATTTCTCCTAGCTCTTTAAGACTTAGCTGAGGCTAAGGCATTACTTCCTCCAAGGGAGCTTCCTAGCTGGGTTGGGACTTCGAACTTCTGAGACCACCCCAAACCATTAAGCTCCCTTCTGTTAACAGCATTTATCAAGGTATGTGGTCTATTTTCATATCTGCCTCCTTCCATCCCAGTCTTGGTCTTGGCCTTAACAGGGCCCAGCGTGCTGACCAGCACAGAGCTGATGCTCAGAAGTATTCATGGAATGAATGTGTTTTCTTCTTGCACACAGGTGAGTGAGCTTCCTTCCTCCATCATCCATAGGGATGATTTAGAGGTGAAAGAAAAAGACCAAAGGAGACCACCAATAGCACCCAGAGAGGTGAAGAGGACTCGGAGGAGGCTCCTATCTGCCTCCCTTCCCAGCAAGTACCATGGCTATGAAGAGCTGCTGACAGCCAAGCCTGATCCAGCCTTCATTGAGCCAAAGGGTATGGGGGGTATATCCTTGCTCCAGGGCAAGGGACCCTTCTCCACAGCCCAGATCAAGTCAGGACCGAGCCTTCTTTTCCCAGCCAGGGTGCTGTCCTCTGTCTAAATGTCTCTCAAAGGGCTCTTTAGGGTATCCTGGTTTGAAGCTCTACATGTTGGGACCCTTGGCCTGGGTTGAGTCTTCACTGGCTTATGGGGAGCCACAACTTGTTCAGAGATTCCAGCTGGTCTGGGCTACCTATGGATGGAAAATCTCTCCTCAGGAAAGGTTTGATGAACAAATTTCCAGGCTGGCCAGATTCTTTAGCTCTTCCCAGCCCAGTTAAGTCCCAAAATGAACATCCAAAATTCTCCTTATTTGGTTTGAGACAAAGGAGACAGATTCTTCTCTGAGTCCCTAAAACTGCTTTGTTAATGGTATTTGTGCTTTCAAAGAAACTGGCACTCAGTTGGGCCCTCTTGGGTGTCAGCCCCTGTGGTATAATGGGGCCACATTGGGGCCAGCCCTTTTCCCCATTCCAATTTTCCCTTAGGATCTGTGCTCATATGGGACAATTATTCACTGAAGAATGATGGAACTTCAAGCACTGGAATGGATCAGGGAGAGACCTGGGAGCAGTGCTTTCTTCTTGCAGACTTTCAGATCCTTTTGTCTATAGCTGCTATGAGACTAGGGAATGACAAAATCAGGAGAGGCATCTGGGAGAAGTGCCTTGACACCATCTTGCCTTCTTGCCCTAGGAATCCAGAAGAATGCACAGGCCCTGCAGCACATGCTGAAGTACCCACTCCTGTATCGCTCCTCCAAACCCAAGCTGGATACACTTCAGAAGCCCTATGTTTCCAGAGAGAAACAGGTAAACATCCGGCTCACTGAGTATGCAAGTGGTCCCTCAGGATCCCCCAGGATACGGATGTGGCTGTCACCTTGGGACCCTCTGAGGGCCATGCATTCCCAGTGCCACCAAGTGCTCCCTGCCTGTTGCTGAGGGGAGGCCAGGAAAGCCTGAGCATAATCCCAGGACAACACCCGCCTTTCTCGTCTTCTGTCAGGCGCGAAGGATCCCAATTCCGCCCCCTCGGAAGACTCGAACCCAGCTGCTGGATGACATCCTCCTTCGCATGCGGGACCCCCGGAACATTACAGAGGCTCCCCTAGGTATGGCTCTGCTGCAGCTGCCAGAACCCAGGATCCGGCAACTGATTCATCTGCTGGCATAAGGCAAAGGACAGGGCTTACGCCAGAGCAGGAAGGGCCCTGAGAGAGCGTCTGCCCCAGTCCTTGCTTTGTGCAGACCAGGACGCAGAGACCCAGAGTGAGGCAGGGAGTTGCCTAAAGTCACACAGCATGTTAAGGACCTGAACCAAGGTTGACTTCCTGCACCCCAAGCTTGAATAGGTCATTTTCAGCCCCCTTAACATCCTCTTCCATGCCACCCCACTTTCTAGGGGGTCTCTGGGCCCAAGCCACTGCTTCAGGCTGGGTAGGAACCAGGGAGAACTTGGTGTCCCTGGGCTTCTCTCCCCGCAGGTGCTGTCCTGCACCGGCGGACTGAGCAGCGGCTGATGAACCAGAAGCAGTACCTGGAGGCCAAACGGCTGCTGAAGGAGTTTCGGGCACGCTACCGGCGGTTGGTGCGCAGCTCTCTGCAGACGGTGTTTGGGGCCACCCCGTTGCCCCCAGCCCGCCCGGCTCTAAGTGAGGGCCAGCCCAAGTTCGGCCGCTTCCTGGAGTTCATGGATGAGTTCTGCCAGGAGCCCGTGACCAGCGACTCGAAAGGCTAGGACTTGCACAGGGCTGCACCCCAGGCCTCCCCAAGGGCTCTCTGCCTCAGGCCAGCTGGTCCGGATGTGGGCCTCAGAGCTGTGTTTGACCAGCTTGTTGGTCGCTGAGCAGGAAGCTCATCAGGACCTCCTCTCCCTGGCTGGGCATTACCTGGTGCCCTGCCCAGTAGCAATAAAGTGTGGATGCACGGGACAAAAGAGTGGGTACCGTGCATTCTTTTCCAAGTTTCGATGGAACAGGGGTATATTTGTTCTGCTGGATGAGAAACCGATGCCAAGGGGATTTTGAACGATGTTCCAAAAAGGGGTATTTTTAAAAATCAGATATTCTGAGTACAGCCCAAATGTGCAAAGATATGCTATCCTGCACATCCATTCTTTACTCAGACTCTTTCTTGGTGCCTTCATTAGAAGTACAAATAGTTGAATGGGAGAATGGCACAGTAAACCTGTGGAAACTCAAGGTAACCTACTTCAAAAGACATGGGAGCCCCGTCCCAGCTCCTCATCTCCCCCACATTCTGAATGCCAAAGCAAGATATTCAACATGGAGTCTTTCCCAGAGCAAAGACAGCACTGAAAACTAGACAGCACACTATCCAAGCCGACCCTGTGTTCTTGTGCAGGATTGCCTTCCAGAGACAAGACATTGACTAGAAACACACATTCACTCTCATGAGTTTCCTTTACTGTATTTGCAACTTGGGCCTCGCCTCAAGCAGGCAAACATACATTGAAGAATGCACTTTGGTACTGTTTAAATAAACAACACATCTTCCCACTTGATTCCATGCCATTTCCTTGTTGGCAGAAGCATCCCCGACAGGACATGCCCTGTTCCAAGTCGTCTATCTTTGTCAAAATGCTCTTTATGGTGAGTCACAGAGGAGGCAGCCAGCAGTGGCAGTCCACAGGATCCAGGTACCTTCTCCAATTCTGATGCAGACAGCAGGTTGAATAAAATACACAACCCATCTTCTCCTTCTAGGCAGGAAGGGGAAAGGCCTTTAGGACAACTGTATTTGTACAAAGAGTTGAGAGTAAACAGCACACCAGGCACACACACACAATCCATTTGTTGGCATTAAGGACAACCATCTCTTGCATAGTACCTATTCTCTCCTTAGGACTTCAGTGCTCTGCTGGAGGCTCAGAGTTGCTAAGATCATGTTGGATGCAAACTGGAACCCACTGAGGAAAAGCCCCTGCTCCCACTGGCGGCGGCACAGCTCTGGAGGGTGGTAGTGCCAACAAGGGGAACTCTGCAAGCTACCATATTAACCCCAAACCAGGGCCAACAGCTACTACTGAGCTCTAACAGCTTGATATGTGAAGAGTGCATTGCCTGTTTTTACCTCATTAAATAAGAGGAAAGGAAGATAAACAAGCCTTGCTTTCCCTTGGCCTTGTTAAACTATTTCTTGATTTAAGACACCAGAAAGGAGAGAGGCAGCTTGCTCAGAGTTTGAGATTGCCTCTCACATGCTGAAGGCTGTTAAAAAGTTGCCACCTTACTGACAAGACGTTGAGGCATTTACTCACAAAGGAGAGTAAGATTTTTCTTAGGAAAAAAATACTGATAATACATACAACAATCTGCACATTCAATCTTGGCACTTTATCCTTCGTCCAGTCTGAATGATCTCTAAACTGGTGACCTCTGCATATATCTAAGTCTCTTTTCTACAGTCTTCTTCAGAAAGCTACAGTGGATAAAAACCATGCAGAAAGATGCACTTCCTGGGTCATCCTCAGAAATCTATTCAGCTGTCTCTCTCGCTAGAACCCACCTTCCCCCGGCATAGACCTGCTTTCTTACTGAGTCACAGGAATTCATAACCAGTTACGTTTACTCTAGAGAATAGGCTAAAAAACTACTCTATGGGTTGAGGAGGAAAAGGCTGGCTAAGAAAGATTTAAGAAGTTTCCAGTTTTTAAAGACTGTCTTTTAACCCTTAATTAAAATTATTTAGTTTCATTTGATAGTTAAAATGAATATTTCAATCAAAATATATCACTTCCCAAGATCCCATATTTACTTTACTTGTACTATGGAGCTTTTCCCTACCTGAATATATTCAGGGGATATGTCCATTTTAATTCTAACTGAAAAAATCAGAAAGAAGATGTTAAAACAAAAAGCCTCCTAAATTATTTGGGTGTCCCCCACATTAGCGTGTGTGAATAAAACTTTAAGGATTATTGATTCAGACCCTAGAAAACTACAGTATAAAATAGGATAGAGGGCACTGGATCTAAGTTCCTTGTTTGCTTTTGCTTTTTTTTTTTTCTTTTAAAGATGGGCAGAAGAAGTTTAACTTGGATGATTTCCATGTTCATTCCAGCTATTTGATTAAGATCCAGCCTTTGGATTTTTTTTTTTCCCCCTCTCCGGCTGGCACTCCATTTCAATGAAAAGCCAGGCATGAAAAAAAGAAAGGAATCCCAAGTTGCTGCCAGCTCTGGTGAGAGGTCAGGTTGGGGGAAAGATTAGGAGGTTACTGACTATGTCAGGGATTCACAACCTGCCTCATTTCTTGAGGCTTAAACTAAAAGCAGCTCCTGAAGAGATGTTACTATCCTGTAATCACTGGAGGAGAAATTATTCTCCCTCAGTAAAATCACTTAGTAAATGAAAAGCAATGATGCAATAAAATTCACAAATACTGATGGGGTCTCTAAAATGTATAATACAGTGCAGCCTGCTGGGTGTTGGACAGTATCCTAAATGTGACCATCGAAGAGCTATAAAAGAAAGCCCTTTCTTATGAAAGGCCTTTCTTATGACTATGAACAAACTCTCCAGCCACACACACACTCAAGAGCAGGGACTGTCTTTTCCAGAACCCAGCTCAGGGCTGGCACGAGTTTGAAGCTCAGGAAATGTCTGTCAAATGGCAAAGAAAGGAGGAACACCTTCGGTCATCAGCTGCACCAGTCAGGCACAGTGGCAGCTACCCATTTTAGTCAGTTTGTCAGTTTGTAACCAGACAGCCATTAATTAAGCAGCTTTAATCTCTTAAGGGCATTTTTCCTTCAGGTAAAATAAACAAAAAACAGAGAAGACATTTATCACCAGTGCTTCTTCCAAGAATAATTTTAAAAATTAAATTTAAATTTAAAAAAAATAATAAGCCACTTAGAAGTTTCCCCGGCAAGCCTCAGCCAAGAAGGCATAACACTTTTTTAAAAACGGGCAATTTATATGAAAAGGGCCTTTCCCAGCAAGCCTCAGCCAAGAAGACTTAACTTTTTAAGAAATCAGGCAATTATATGAAAGTGGCCAGGGGCTGGATGCATAATCCCCTGATTTGAAACCAACCCAACAGGCCCAGATGACTTCTTCCAGCAGATACAATCAACAGGTCATGAACATGTTCCCAAATTATCTTTCCCTCTCCATGGAAGAGAGTTGAGAGCCCCCTTCTGAGGGCATCACATTTCTTGGATTTCCCATCAGAATGACCTTTACCCTCCCACCTCTCATAACATCCCCTTTAGTAAGAAAAAAAATACAGAATCATATATACAAAGAGCAGAGTTAGTAGAACATGGGTAATTTGTATGGCAAATTGGACTTCAATGATTTGTGAAATCGTATATCTCTTATTCTAGCTCAAAAACCTTCCCCATACTATTTTCCTTGTCTTTTTTTTTTTTAAATCTCTTTTTCCCCAAAGAATTCATATCAACAACTCCATCTGTGACCAACTTTACAATCAGCCACAAAAGAGGGAAATTTTTCAGAAAGAGAAAGCTGGTCAAGTTTTAGTTATCAAGGATGGGAAGTATCTTAAAAATACAGCAAATACTTTGGTGGTTTTCCTTCCTCCAAAGCCAAGCTGATTAAAGATTAAGCCTCTTCCCTCCTTAACCTAAACCACTCTGCCTATATTTGAAAGACTACTGTTCAGCAGGAAGTTTGGAAAACAACAGCTGCCAATATCATTCTAGGCATCACAGTAGTGGAAGGGGGAAAGTCATAAGCTGGACCTTGTGTTTGGAAAATATGCTTAACCAGAAGTAGCTTTTTACTCTGCACTTGTTGCTACTGCTATGCAATTTCTTAAAATGAAAGTATTAATTTGGGGAAATATTTAAAATATATATTTCATCTATTAAAAAATATTTATCTTTTTACCAAAAAAAAAATCAATTCCAACTGAAAAGTGTTTCTCAAATTACTGGAGATATAGAAAAGGTGGCAAGTGAAAAAATAAGTGTCTTTGCTCCTACCAACAAGACTAGCCTTCCCATAATTGCTACAATCAAGAAAGGAAATACGTGAAAAGGCAGTAACTGATAAGTTTTCTCTAGGGGGATTTAGTAAGATCACCCTCCCTGTCTTCTGCAGACCAGAGCCAGCTCTCCTATTTTGGGCACTAACACGCCCTCCAGCAGCCCTTGGAGGCTATAAGTTGCTGGTAGGACCTAGACTGAAGTGGTGCGACTATAAAGTAATGAGATTGATACATGTTTTTTAAACATACATCTGCACATATGCACACACACACACATACAACACAGAATACATACATTCAGATGAGTGAGGTTCCCCACCAAGGCAGTCACCGAAGAGCTTCCACATATCTCAACGATGACCACAATGCTTAAGACATCTCTGGAACTTCTCTTTGGGAACTGTTTGGGAACTATGAGCTGCACAAGAAAATGGCTCTGACTGCTTTAAAGCAGCACCCCACTTACTACTTCAATACCCTTGATAAGCCACCTTCTTTCCCAGTGGCTTCAAATAACTTCTGGCTCGTTTCAAACTTAAAGTTCTCTCCTATAACCACAAAAGACCGAAGATTTGCCCTAAGAAGGGGGCAGATCTCCTGAGAAGAAGTTAAAGGAGATATACTAACTCCCCTGATGAGCAAGTCACTTTTCTGGACCTTAGCTTCTGCCTCGGTCAAAGGAGAAGGTAGGATAGATGAACATTAAGGTCCCTTTCAATTCTAACATTTTGAGGGTATGTTTCTAGATGTTTCCAGTCTTTGAAGACAGTTCCAGAAATGTTTTCTCCAATGGCGGCATCATTGGGAAAACTGCAGTATCCTGCTGGGGTACTCAAAGAGGACAACATACACTGGGATATATAAGCTCTGGAAGTTTTGTTAAAATGCCAGTCATGTGACTTTATAGTAACAACTCATACATACACAGGGAATGCCATCTGAGATTCCCTGAAATCATATCTTAACCCCTATTCTCAATGAGCCCAGATGGGCAGAAGCACCAAGCACCACCAGGGATGCAAAAGACACATGGTGTCAGCTGCTAAGGAAAATAAACCCCAAAGGTCCATGGGACTGAATTTACCAGCTGCATCCAGCTAGATACCTTGTTTCCATAGTATGGAGTTTCAGCATTATTCATTGCCTGACTTCAGAGCGAATTTTTAGAATTTCATTAGGATTTTAGATCAACATTGCAGATAGTCATTGGCCATGTAGAAAGTAATAATGAAGCCTGACTATAGTTTGTCTCATAGGCTGAAACCCCCAGCAAAACAGAAGGCCATAAACTGTGGGGATGGGGATAACTGCGCAGTACACATTTATACTTCCCATCAATCTTTATTGTTTGTGTGTGCACTTTGCACTGTTCGTGTGTAACACCTAGCCTAGCTTTTCCTAGGCTACCCTGGCGGTAGTGGTCCATTTGGGAAACCTGTAGAAAATCCATGGGATTTGTTGTCAGGAGACCCAGCGTTCGGTTGGGGCTTTGCCACTTAGTAGTTGAGAGAACCTGAGCATCTGCACTGCAGTTTCATCATCTAAAAATGGGGCTAATACCACTTACATGTTAGGTCTCTTGAGAAGACCACATTAAATAATGTCTGTGAATGTGCTCTGTCAACTCTACAGCATTAATCAAATGTTATTTTTTAATCAGAGAAAATAAATCAATTTTTGTAGAGGCATAAGCTCAATTGATTTAGGTAGGTATTTACTTTTGACAAGGGCAGGAGAAAGAGGAACATAACTATCATTTTGGATCTGCCAAAGAACTACACTGTTTACTTCTTTGAACAAGATGAAATTAAGATTTATCTGCAAGGCTGATTTAAAACAATACCCTGTTGAAAGAAGTCAGGTGATCTACCAGTTTGAGAAGGTATCCCCTATTTCCTCTACCATTTCTGATTGTGGCCATTTTGCTCCTGAATGAGGCTGTTTCAAATCTCATTCCAAGTGGGTGATGTAAGATTTGGCCCAGAAGCCCTCAGGATGGGTCACTCAGAGAGTGAGGAGTGCTTCTGGCCTGGGTCACAGAGAAACAGAGACGCAGTTCCCTTGGTTATTGACTACAAAGGCCCTGGAACCTCTCAGAACCGTATTAGACAGTGTTTTGCCATGAATAGGAAACCAAAGTGAGAACATTCAGCTCTTCAGGATAAATGAGCAAGGCCAAAGACCTCTTAAAAATAGGTAACACTGTCCAGTAAGTGCTACTTGGCCCCGGCCATGCTGCTGGACCGTAAGAGATACTGATCCATGCTTCCTTTTCGCCGACTCACAGTCCGCCTCTCATTGTCAAACATGCGCTGCAGCTGCAGAGCCAGCTGTCGGTCCTCTTCCTCTTGCTGCAACTTCTGCTCCAGACCCACTTCACTGCTGGTTTGTCGCAGTTTTTTAAGAGAGCCATTTTGTTCCAAGTGCTTGGTCTTACAGTGTCTTTTCCGGCCCCGACGCAAGGAAGGAAGTGTCTCCTCACTTAGGCTGTCTACTAGAACACCATTAGCCAAATCAAAATGATTTAATGTCTTCAATTGTTTCTTTGTTTTGAGGGCTCCACCCAAAACATTGTTTTGGGGTAGCACTGAATTAACTGCTGAGATTTTCATGGCTCTGCTTACACAGGTTGTATCTAATTTGGCATCTGGGGTTGACTCTGACCCCTCAATCTGCTCCCTCTCCAAAGAAGTCCCACCGGCTCCCACTTTGAATTCTGAGGAACAGCAGGTTTCCGATGGGATCTCAGTGTTCCTCTTACCATCACTGTCCTGTTCTGCTTTTGTTTGGCTAACGGAGGGGAAATTATCAAGGTCAGTGGGGGTGGGTCCCGCATACTCGGAGAGTACTTGCCCACTTGACAATCTTGTATTTAAAGCCACAAGTGGCTTCTCCTTGCTAGAATGTATAACTTCAGAGCCTAGTAAGTCTTCCCCCGTTTCAGGAGCCAGAGAGGTGAGAGTAGCTTTCGAAAGGGTCTTTTTGATCTGCCGCTCCTGAAAGATCTGTTCCCACTTTTTGAGGATCCGTGGGCTGGCTTCATAAGAAGTCTGCTTCTGCAGGCTTCTGGTTAGGTTGCGGGGTGTTGATTTGATGATGAGGGGACTCAGCACACGGCCATCAGGGAGTCTCTTGGGAGGAGTACACGGTGAGCAAACAATAGGCTTGAAATGGTTTAGTTCTTCAGAGATGCTGTCATTGCTCTCAGGGCTGATAGAACGCTCTGGCTTATGCAGGGAAGCCAAGGATGAAAGGGAGCTGAAGGGCAGACGCTTTTCGACAGTTAAGTCAGGGGCTGAGAGGCAGCGGTTGTTCTGAGTGGACAGGAGGACACCAATGATGGGGTTTGAGGCTGGAGCCATAGTTGTGACCTGAAAGAGATTTAAAACATCATAAATACATGTTTCCTTCATCATTCCTTTATGATGGGAGGGACAGGGAAGGGAAGGATAAGAAAAGGGATGAAGGATAATGTGAGCCCAAGACATGGAAAAAATTCCTCATCTAGAAAGCATACCACTTAACAGAAACTCTTACACACTTGAAACAACTAATAAAATTGAAAAAGCTATAGGAAAAAAAACTTACCAAGAGCTTTTAAAAAAAGGTTTCTCTAGTGGCCCTCATTCTACTCATCTTGCTACTAATTAAAACCCTCTTCCTTCATATCTGTCTGTAGATTTCTCCAACATAATCCTGACCTCGTTCAGCTTCCCCTCATCTGGAACAGTTCGTTTTGTGTCCATGTGCCATGGGGATGATGGGGTGGGCTTGGCTAGCCCGGAACCTGTGGTGAGATATACCTTGGCTTTGTTGGCTGGAGCTGCTCTGAGTCTGCTCTTCACTCTCTCCTGAGCCGTGTCACTGCAGCTCTGACTCCTTTCCACTTTGGAGTTTAGCTTCCTAAAAAAGAATAAATAAAAGACAGATTTTCAGAATTAGCCCATATACTAGGTAAAGAAAAAGGATGACAATCTCTCGTGCTCTGTAAGCCACTCACCAAGAAAGGTAATTCCCTTGGGCAGCTACAATAGAAAATGTGTTAATTTATTAACAAAACACATTCTAAGAACAAACTCTGCCAAAAGAGAGTGCTCCAGAGAGGGCATTTGATCCAAGCTTTTGTTTCTAAGACCAATGGCTGTTTTGCATATGCTGAGAGAGAGTACAGATACTTCACCTTCCTTCATGGGGTAGACCACAATGGTAAATCACCTTTACAAATAATACATTTCCTCTTATTAAACCCAAACCTCTCTTCAAGCAACCTAAATCATCATGAAACATACACTGAAGTACTCACAAAAATGCACAGCAGTGTATTAGACCTTCATGTGTGGAATCAAAATTAAATATACTCCCTCTTTAATCCATTTGAGCTTCCAAAGGCCTAAATCCTGGTGATTTAAGAGATTTCAAGAACATGTGGTTTTCATCTACATATTACATTATGAGTTTATAACCCAAACCAAACTCCATAGTAACTGGTATTATGTACGCAGGTCTACTACATGATAGCATGCTGAGTGTTGTAAGACAGAATTCTAATACAGCTAAACTTCCCCCATGTTTTCCCACTAAGAGTCTTATAGCCTGAGCTCTTACATTTAGACCTCTGATTCATCCTGAGGTAAGTTTTGTGTATGGTGTAGAGTTGGAGTCCAACTTTATTATGTTATACGTGCTAGTTGTCCCAGCATCCTATGTGAATCTTGGGTTAGAATTACGTGCAGATGACTATCACCTACTCCACAGATGGCAGACTACAAGTAGGGACACTCAATTAACTTCTGACTCACCTGTATTTCCCATTCCCCAACTTTTGCCTAAATATATGTCTGTTCATCAAGAATTTATCATATACCGACTATATGCCAGGCACTGATGGGCACTATCCAGGCCCTGAGAATACAGAGAGGAATGAGACACAGTCTTGGTCTTTAAGGAATCAGAGTTCAGTGGGGCAGACAGATAAATAAACATAATAGTAAAAGGGCACAAAAAGTATGCATAAGATACCTCTTATGCATAAAAGAGAGAGTTATTAATAACCTGGGATGGAATGGAGAGCAGGGTTAGAAAAGCCTTCCTGTAGCAATGTGCACATCAAAGGATAAATAAGAATTTTCCGGAAGTCAAGGTGGACATGTAGCTATACAGACGATTCCAAACAGAAATTAGTTCCTCAAATGATTCTATTTAGCTTTGGAATTGAATGCATCATATCTACTCTTTTGTGGCTTTTCTATGCCAGGGTTAGCTCAAAGAAACTTTATAAAGTAGATAAGGTATATCCCCAGGATGCCTCTCCTCTTCCTACAACTCTAGTGGAAGCTGGTCCCACCCACTCACAACAGCTTATATTCTAGCATTTCTATGTTATTCTTCCCAGCCAAAACCCTCCCATCCTATGTCTTATGACCACATATTGTTAATAAGGAGAAAGTGGTGGCTAACCTGTATTACATGTTTAGACTTTACCATGAACGTTCAACACTTAACCTAAATGAATAATGTGAAAGTTGTACTATGTAGTCGGAGATGCATTTTGGAACAAGTAGGCAATTTCACATCACCCTATAGACGTAGAGGCTTAGAAGTCAGCTTGACTGATACTTTATTTTTAAAAACTAAATATTTTTGCATTCCTAGAAGTCATACAAACTGTCAGTGATGTAGATCACTCAGAAGTAAACTGTATGGCAGATTAAAATGCTGTGGTAAATAATGTAAGCCTTGGGTCAGGAGAAGGAACATACAGTTGAGAGAGACAGCATTATTATTTCACATATATGACTTGTTGGTTATGATTTCATTGGAGAAAAGACAATCAGAGGAAAAAATTTTCTGACAAAACTGAGAAAGGCCTTTGCAACATTCAATAGTCAGAGTATGGAGCGATACTGAGCTCTATGCCATTAGGAGTGTTCAAGCTGATCCTCCCGTTTCACCCTCCAGAGTGGCTGGGACTACAGACACATGTCACTATGCCCGGCTAATTTTTTTATTTTGTGTAGAGACAGAGATCTTGCTATGTTGCCCAGGCTGGTCTTAAACTCCTAGAATAAGGCAATCCTCCCACCTTGGCCTCCCAAAGTACTGGGATTACAGGCATGAGCCACTGTGCCCAGCCAAGAAAAGATAATTTTGATCAAGAGGAGCATCTAGACACTGAAGTCTACTACTCTACAGTGTAAGTGCTATAAGAGAAGTTATACAACTGAACTCCCCAAGTGTTTTCTTCTATGAGTTGTATAGTTTTGGCTCTTATATTTAGGTCTTTGATCCATGATGAGTTTATTTTTGTATGTGGTATGAGATTGGGGTCCAAGTTCATTCTTTTGCATTTGAATGTACAGTTATCCCAGGATCAAATGTGAAGAGACGATCTTTTCCTCCACTGTATGGTCTTGTTACTCTTGTGGAAAATCAATTGACTATATATGTATGGGTTTATTTTTGGATTCTCAATTCTATTTCATTCATCTATATGTCTGCCCTCATTCCAGTATCACACCATTTTAACTGCTATAGCTTTGCAGGAAGTTTTGGAATCAGGAAGTATGAGAACTCCACCTTTGTTCTTCTTTCTCAAGATTGTTTTAACTATTTGGGATCCCCAAATAGTTCCATATATGAATTTTATCCATATATAGTTCCATTTATGAATTTTAATATCAGCTTGTCCACAAAAAAAGCCACTGGAATTTTAGTAGGTATTGCACTAAATATGTAAAAAAAAAATGGGGCGTATTGCCATCTTAATAATATTAACTCTTCTAATCCATCATCTCAGGAAGTCTTTCCTTCTATTCAGTTCTTCTTTAATTTCTTTCAACAATGTTTTGCAGTTTTCAGCATGCAAGTCTTGCACTCCTATGGTTAAATTTATTCATAAGTATTCTCTTTTTTCCAATGGTGTAGTAAATTGTTTTCTTAATTACGTTTTTGGATTGTTCATTGCTAGTGCATAGAAATACAACTGATTTTTGTGTGATGAGCATATATCCTATAACTTTGCTAAATTCATCTAGTAGCTTTAATTTTTTTATGGATTCTTAAGGACTTCCTATGAATAATACATTATGTGCAAACAGAGATAGTTTTACTTCCTCCTTTGTCATCTAGATCCCTTTTATTTCATTTCCTTCCACAACTGCTCTGGCTAGAATTACCAGTACGATATTGAAAAAAAGTGGCAACAGTAGTCGTTCATTTATCCCATTCCCGCTATTAGGAGGAAGCTTTCTGTCTTTCACTACTGAGTATGATATTAGCTGAGGGGTTTTCAGAGATTTCTTTTATGAAGTTGATGAAGTTTCCTTTTTTCCTATTTGTTCAGTGTTTTCCTCATGAAAGGGCATTAGATTTCATTTTGTTTTTGTTTTTGTTTTTCCGTATCTACCAAGATATTCATGTAGCTTTTTCCCCCCACTCAATGAAAATGTTGCATTACATTGATTAATTTTCATACGATGAACCAACTTTGCATTCTTGAGATAAATCCCACTTGGTTATGGCGTATAATTCTTTTATTATGCTGGATTTGATTTGCTAGTACTTTTGTTGAGGAATTTTGCGTGTGTGTGTGTGTGTGTGTGTGTGTGTGTGTGTATACATGTGCAGACACACACACACACACACAATTTAGAGACAGGGTCTTACTCTGTTGTCCAGGCTGGAGTGCAGTGGCATGCTCACAGCTCACTGCAGCCTCCACCCCCTGACTTAAGCGATCCTCTAGCCTTTGCCTCTCGAGTAGCTGAACTACAGGCATATGCCAATACATGCTATGTTACCCAAGCTGGTCTCTAACTCCTGGTCAAATGATCCTCCCACCTCAGCCTCCCAAAGTGCTGGGATTACAGACATGGACCCACAATGCTTGGCCTGTGTTTTGAAATCAGAAAGTGTGAGAACTCCACCTTTGTTATTCTTTTTCAAGATTGTTTCAGCTATTTGGGATCTCCCGCAGGTTCACATATGAATTTTAATATCAGCTTGTCCATTTCTGCAAAAAAAGGTCATTGGCATTTTAATAGATATTACACTACATTCTCTGATATCTTTACCTGGCTTTGGTATTAGCGTAATGATTGCCTCACTTTCATAAGTTGGAAAGTGATCATTACTCTTCTAATTTTTGGAAGAGTTTGAGAATTTGCATTAATCCTTCTTTAAATGTTTGGTATTTTCACCAGTGAAGCCACCTGGTCCTGGGCTTTTATTGTTGGATGTTTTTTGACTACTGGTTCAACCTCTTTACTTGATAGTGTTCAACTGAGATTTTTTACTTCCTCTTACAAAGTCTGAACTCATGAACTCATCCTAGAAAAAGTGCTAAATACCTCATTGCTGAATATTACAATGGTAACATTTGAAGTACTCCCCTTGGGAAGCTATGCACCTACACCAGTGCCTTGTCCAGCAGTCAATGCAATTTTGGAACTCTTTCTGGAATGGCCATCAGAGTTGTCGTTGTCTTACCCTTGATACCCCGAATGTCATCAAAACGTCTTCTTTTCAATATTTCCATTCTCTTCGGATAAAGAAAAAGTCATTGGGGGTGAGATCAAGTGAGCAGGGAAGGTGTTCCAATATAATTATTTGTTTACTGGCTACAAACTCCTTCACGGACAGTGCTGTGTGCACTGGTACATTGTCATGATGCAAGAGCTCCTTCAGGACTATTTTTTCACATGCCTTTCTCATGCCAAGATTTTCAGTTAAGGTTTTCCTAAGTGTTTCTCTAACGATGTTTATTTGGTCTGCTATGGTTCTGACAGTCAGTCAACAATTTTGATGCACAATTCAACTAATTTTTGCAATGATTTTGTCAGTTCTGCTTGTTAATGGCCATCCTGACCTCTTTTTATGAGTGACACTTTCTCTCCCCTCAGAAA